CATTGGGAATTTATTTTTTGGTGGTGGGACTTCTATTTTTATTATAGAATAGTAGAGAGAAGTGGGTTTGAATATTTCTTGATTCAGTTCAGGTTTTTCAAGGTCAACGAAGAAAAGGGGCAAATGTGTTTTGGAAGATCTGTGGAGAACATTAGTTATGTTTTTGACTTGATACCCTAGATTAGTTAGTTCGTTAGAAATATAAGCTTTATCAGTTGAAGGGTGGAGGTTGCGGATGACAATTCTGAACGGTGTGTTTTCTTTTAACTGGTAGGAATGGAAGGAAATGTTTTCACTTTTAAAAAATTTAATAACTGTTTTATATGAACCAAAGCTAATTGTTTGTAGTTTAACACCTTTCATGGATTTTTTGCAGGAGAAACTAGATGCATCGATGAGTTAATTTATTTTGAGACAAAATAAATTGTAGTTTTGTATAAATATTGGTGGAGATAAACTTACGTACGGTTGCCGAATAGGTAAAATAAGTCTTTAACACTTGGAGCATGAGGTTCAAACTCACCTGTGCAAATGAATTTTTTGCATTTTTTTCTTAATAATTTTTGAGTTAGAAAAAAATTCCAAGTTTTTTTAATTAATGATTTATTATTTATTTATTTATTATAATCTTTTACGAAAATCAACTTTAAAAGATAGGTTAAATATGTCATTTTAATTATTTTTAACATATTAAAAATCAAAATCAGTAAAAATTTGAAACACAAATTTTTTTTTTATTTGTAAATACTCATTTTTACTAATTAGTAATATTATCAAAAATTAAGAAAAAGTCTTATTGCAGATTTAAAAAAGTTGAAAAATAAAAGTATAATATAAAATATTATTTTTTAGCTTCAGATGAGAATTCCTTTTAGTCCACAATATTCATTAGGAACAAAACATTTTTACAAGTACTTCATTATTTTTATTATTTCTCTACTTGTGTAGATTTTATATATCTTTTGGGTACTCCTCATTCATATTTTTATTTTCGATTTCCGAAAAATATATCTGATTATGGACCGTATTTGTTCCCAGTTTAACCGATCATATCCACTTCCTATTCGAATGATGGTTAATTTGGTAATATTTTGCTCATTGTAGAATCGACGTTTATTCTTTATGGCTGAAAACATAACAGACATAGTAGATTTCTTTTAAATACTTTCTTATTTATAATATACATTATGTTAAATATTAGCGATTTTTGGTCTGTTATTACTGTAAATTTCTTTTGGAAAAAATAAGGTCGAAATTGTTATACTGTCCATACTATGGATAAAAGTTCTTTCTCAGTTTTGATGTAGTTCTTTTCTGTCTTGTTTAATGTGCGAGAAATGTATATCGGTGTAATATCGGTAAATCAGACCCAAGTTTCCCTTGTGATAGTATGGCTGAGTTGCTGGCGTCTGTTATTATGTGAACAGGCGTGAAAAATTCGGATATTGCATTATGGTTTTTTGCGATAGTAGTTTCTTTATTTGATTAAATGAGTTCATACAAAGATCACTCCAAATAAAGTCACTATCCTTTTTCAAAAGATTTGTCAAGGGTTTGGTTATTTTTGAAATAAAAGTACACTTAAATTTACAAAAAATTCAATAGTCAGTTTAATTTTGGAAATATAATTATTTATAAATTATAACATTAATCGTTTTAAGGTTAAGTTATAACACAATATTATTTATATAACGGTTCGAACACGATTAAATAATGCTTATTCAAAACTATTCGTTGTCTACTACTAATTATTCATTAACCCCACTGCACAATTATCATAACAATACAGGTTCATTTATTTTTATACGCGTTTAAAGTAAAGATATATAGACTCATTCTCTGCTCTATTTTCTTATCAACCGCCCAACACTTTGAACCATACACCATAGCTGGCCTTATTACAATCTTGCATAATTTACCTTTCAACCTCATTGGAATTCTTTTATCACATAAGACGTCAATACCCCCGCTCTTTTGCACAACTGACCCTAAATACTTAAAACTCTTCACCTCTCCAATCATGTCTTCGCCTATTGTCACTGACCTTCTCATTTCACCTACCTCGTGTTCTCCTTTATCAAACTCGTACTCTATATACTCTGTCTTACTTCTACTTATTCTTAAACCTTATTTTCAAGAGTTGATCTCCACACCTCTTAGCCTTTGGTTAATTTCCTCCTATTAACACTATATCGTCAGCAAACAACATGCACCACGTCACCTCTCCTTGTATTTGTAAAATAACTGAATAATATTAATATATTCAAAATACTCTTTCCGCCTTTTTTTCACATTATCACTTGAGAGTACCTTATCAAAACTTTTTATACATCTATTAAATCTATACATCTTATATTACATCTATTAATTTACCCAATAAATTACAATACTACGTTATTGAATATCAATTTCATACTATATTTAATTACTATATATTAGTATTTATTTATATATTATACTTTAAAAGCAAATAACCACTAATTAAGATTTAATTAAGGAAATATGAGTTTATTTTGCTTTTGTAAATATCTACCAATTCTCTAGAATTAAATACTATCTACAGATTTGCATCGACGCGTTTCTTATGATAGTGATTTTAATCACTGTTATATATCATCTATATTTGTTTCATCTATGCCACGTCCACACTGTGCTACCGGTTTTTTTATTTACTTTGTAATAAACAAATACAATTTTATATTTTCTCAACTATATTTAATATATAATTATCAATTAAGAACAAAACACTCGATTTCTTGAAATTTATTGAGAATTTTTTATTTATTAGATATCAGTCAATATATTATTTAACCAATTATTTACAATTCATGATATATATTTTTTGATTAAATTATTAAAATATACAGCTTTATGTAACTATTAAAAATAATAATTATCTTATACTTTTTTAACTGTCACATTTAATTAAGATAAATATCAGTAATTTTATTAAATTTATACAATTATTTAGTATCCTTGAAGCATGAAAAACATTTATATCATAAAGATGATATCAGTTACTTTGAACTAATTTTGCTCATTTATACACTATTTCTGTGTGAAATCAATGATTATATTAAAAATATTATACTGTCAAATGGGAATATTCGGATCATTTTTCCAGTGATATTAATATGTTTTTTTTTGTTCAGTTTTTAAACATATTACAATTTTGTGTTCTTTTCTAATTTTGGATACTGATAGATTCAACTAGTTTAAATTTGCAGTCTTTTAATATATAGAGCCACAAAATCGGTCCTGTAAGTGTTAAGAATTTTATTGGACAGACAAAAATAAATCCTTTACCATTGGGACATAACACAATGGGAATAGAAGATATTCTTATATTAATTGTATCAATGCAATTTTTTTTACAAATAATATCTACCCTGTGAAAATTAAATAAATATTCTTAAAATATAAAGGGTATAATTTAATAAATGTTAGTCGTATTCCAGATGAAAATTCTGTTTTATTATATTACCGTAAGAACCTTTTAGGTATTTTAAAACACCTACAGGTTTATCTTACATGTTTAGATCCTAGGGGTCATAGAATTCTGTCAGCGCTAATTAGTGTCAAGGGGCAATGAAAAGTTTTAAATTAAGAGTGGTGGTTTTGTCTGGAACCTTTTTCTTTTTAATTTATTTTGTCTTCTTTAAATAAGTCACCTATGTTTGGATGTCAAGTTAATTTTATATTTTGACACGACTTACGTCGCAAAAATGTGGTCGACACTGGTTTTGAGGGTAGAGACCCGTGGGCCGTTTATTAAATGAGCGACAACAGATTATGTTAACAAAAATAAAACAAACCGAAAAGATTAACACAGTAATAATAATCTTAGCATAATATCGCGGCAATTTCGCTGGCGTCGACGACGCGATGTCCGGCGTAATCCTTGGACGGCAAATGGTTAGCAGCGTTGTAGGCGACGGTGCGCGGGTGCGGTTCGGTTGGTCGACGTTGTCGCTTTCACAACGGGAGGAAGACTCTCGCACCATTTTCGGCGGGTCGTCGTCGGCCGTGCGGCATTTGCTGGACTTTGCACCGTAGCGTATAACACGCGGTGTTGGTCAGTCAAATACTCATAGTAGGGCGACGGCTGATAAAGGTGGCACGAGTCGCGGGGCATCGTGTATAACGAAGCAACGCGGGCCGTGTCAATTTTATTCACGTTATTATTTCATGCTAGTATAAAGACTACATTTCAAGTTAATTTCATGTTTAATCAAGTTATTTTGAAAGCCTATTTTGATGTTCAACACCGTCACCACAAGATCTCATATAATCCACTCATCACTCATGATTCAGCTATTCAACTGAATTTTATATAATTTTCTAATGTTTATTATTTGTTTTATTTAGTTGACTATTTTCAATAAGTCGTTTCGCCGGCCATTAGTATTTAGATGCCCACCGCTACCCCTTAAATTTAAGAGACTCATTGAAATCCTTTAATATATGTGGTTATTTGTTATTTGACTATTGTCTACTCTAGTTATTTATTGGATGTGTGATTAGCCATTAACCTCCCAGATTACCTCTCTCCCGTTTTAATAATAGCGATTTAAATAGACTTAAGGTAAAACGATAATTTAGTGTGGTGCACAATTAGTCGTCCTACGATCTAGCTGCCTCGTACGATACAATAACTTAATATCATAATGTTTGATGTATAATTTATATGTCTACAAAAAAATACATAATAATAACCTTAAATTAATATTTAACATAACAGGTATGCAAAAAAACTTTACTATCATTAAAACGAAATATGAACATACCGCTTGTATCATAAACAAAATAATTTTGTATATATTTATTTTTATTTTTACAAATATGTGTGCACATCGCCTCTATTAATATGCATATACACAAAATAGTGTCCACATAAAAATAATGCGCATAGACTTAATAAAAATAGCCAATAACTGTAACTTTAGATAATTTAAAATAATTTAATAGGACAAAATAAGTTAATTATTGTGCTCATTTAGGCATTGAAAATAAATATTCGGGTGCAAAAAAAATATGTCCGTTTGAAAAAGGTACGACGAGAAATGCTGCTAAAATTGGTAACATACAAACATTAAAACAAGCTTATGAGAGTGGTTGTGAATGGGATGAATTTACGACTTCCGAAGCTGCTGAAAACGGGCATTTAAAATGCTTAAAATATGCCTACGAAAATGGATGTCCATGGGATGTAGGCACAACAGAAGCAGCTGCGAAATATGGTAATTTAGAAACCTTAATATACATTCATAAAAATGGCTGTAAATGGGATAAAAATACAGCAAGCGTTGCTGCTGAATATGGGCATGTAGAATGCTTAATTTATACACATGAATATGGCTGTAGATGGAATGAAGAAACAACTAGAGACGCTGCTGCAAATGGACAATTGGAATGTTTAAAATATGCGCATGAAAATGGATGTCCATGGGATGTAAGCACAACGATTTCAGCAGCATCAAATGGGCATTTAGGATGCTTGCAATATGCACATGAAAATAGATGTCCATGGGATATAAGTACAACGTCAGAAGCTGCGAAATTTGGACAGTTAGAATGCCTAAAATATGCACATAAAAATGGTTGTGCATGGAATGAACAAACAACAAGTAACGCTGCTTTGAATGGACATTATGAATGTTTAAAATATGCACATGAAAATGGATGTCCATGGGATGTAAGAACAACGATTGCGGCTGCGTCAAATGGGCATTTAGAATGCTTGAAATATGCACATGAAAATAGATGTCCATGGGATATAAGTACAACGTCAGAAGCTGCAAAATTTGGACAGTTAGAATGCCTAAAATATGCACATAAAAATGGTTGTGCATGGAATGAACAAACAACAAGTAACGCTGCTTTGAATGGACATTATGAATGTTTAAAATATGCACATGAAAATGGATGTCCATGGGATGTAAGAACAACGATTGCGGCTGCGTCAAATGGGCATTTAGAATGCTTGAAATATGCACATGAAAATAGATGTCCATGGGATATAAGTACAACGTCAGAAGCTGCAAAATTTGGACAGTTAGAATGCCTAAAATATGCACATAAAAATGGTTGTGCATGGAATGAACAAACAACAAGTAACGCTGCTTTGAATGGACATTATGAATGTTTAAAATATGCACATGAAAATGGATGTCCATGGGATGTAAGAACAACGATTGCGGCTGCGTCAAATGGGCATTTAGAATGCTTGAAATATGCACATGAAAATAGATGTCCATGGGATATAAGTACAACGTCAGAAGCTGCAAAATTTGGACAGTTAGAATGCCTAAAATATGCACATAAAAATGGTTGTGCATGGAATGAACAAACAACAAGTAACGCTGCTTTGAATGGACATTATGAATGTTTAAAATATGCACATGAAAATGGATGTCCATGGGATGTAAGAACAACGATTGCGGCTGCGTCAAATGGGCATTTAGAATGCTTGAAATATGCACATGAAAATAGATGTCCATGGGATATAAGTACAACGTCAGAAGCTGCAAAATTTGGACAGTTAGAATGCCTAAAATATGCACATAAAAATGGTTGTGCATGGAATGAACAAACAACAAGTAACGCTGCTTTGAATGGACATTATGAATGTTTAAAATATGCACATGAAAATGGATGTCACTGGAATAAAGCAATATCTAGATATGCTGCTATAGGATGTAATTTAGATTGTTTAAAATATGTATTTGCAAATGGATGTCCATGGGATGTAGGCACAACATTTGCTGCTGTCGCAAGAAATAATTTGATAATATTAAAATATGCATATGAAAAAGGATGTCCATTGGATATTGGCATAACTACTGAGGCTACTGTAAGAGGTAATTTAGAAATTTTAAAATATGCACATGAAAATGGATGTCCATTGGATGATGGCATAATTAAAGCGGCTACTGTAAGAGGTAATTTAGAAATTTTAAAATATGCACATGAAAATGGATGTCCATTAGATGATAAAATAACTACTTTGGCTATAGATAGTGGTTATTTTGAAATTTTAAAATATGCACGTGAAAATGGATTTCCATGGGATAAAAGAACAACAAAAGTTGCTGCAAGTTATGGTAATTTAGAGTTTTTAAAATATGCTCATGAAAACGGATGCCAATGGGATGAGGGCACAACGAGAGGAGCTGCAGAAAGTGGTTGTTTAGAATGTTTAAAATATGCACATGAAAATGGATGTAATTGGGATAAAGGTACAATGGTAACCGCTGCAATGCATGGTAATTTAGATTGCTTAATATATGCTCATGAAAATGGTTGTATATGGGATGAAGGTACAATAAGAGTTGCTGCTTTTAGAGGTTATTTTGTTTGTTTAAAATATGCCCATGAAAATGGATGTGACTGGGATATAGGAACAACTAAAGTTGCTGCTGGAATGGGACATATAAAGTGCTTAACATATGCACACGAAAATGGATGTCCGTTGGATGATAATATAACATTGGTTGCTGCTAAGTATGGACATTTAAATTGCTTAAAATATGCACATATAAATAAATGCAAATTGGAAAAAAAAATAACGGGACTAGCTGCTTCTAATGGTGATTTAGAAATTTTAATATACGCTCATGAAAATGGATGTCCATGGGATGAAAATACAACTAAGGAAGCTGCTGCTAATGGTCATTTAAAATGTCTAGTATATGCACATGAAAATGGATGCCCATGGAATATTGGTATAACTACTGCGGCTACCAATATTGGTAATTTAGAAATTTTAAAATATGCACATGAAAATGGATGTCCATGGGATGATGGAATAACTACTGCGGCTACTAAAAGGGGTAGTTTAGAAATTTTAAAATATGCTCATGAAAATGGATGTCCATGGGATGACGGCTTACTTATTGCGGCTATTAAAAGTGGTAGTTTAGAAATTTTCAAATATGCGCATGAAAATGGTTGTCCATTTGATGACACCATACTTACTGTAGCTATTAAAAGAGGTAGTTTTGAAATTTTAAAATATCTACATGAAAATGGATGTTTATGGGATGAAAAAACAACAAAAGTAGCTGCAGGTTATGGTAATTTGAAAATGTTGAAATATGCTCATGAAAACGGATGCAAATGGGCCACTGGCACAACAAAAGCAGCTGCTTTAAGAGGTCATTTTGATTGTCTTAAATATGCACATGAATATGGCTGTCCATGGGATGATGACACAACTAGAGCGTCTGCAGCAAGTGGTTGTTTAGACTGTTTATTGTATGCTCATGAAAATGGATGTAAATGGGATGAAGACACAATTGTTACAGCTGCATTGCATGGTAATTTAGATTGTTTAAAATATGCATATGAAAATGGATATAATTGGATCAAAGGTACGATGAGAGGGGCTGCTGCAAATCGACATTTAGAATGCCTCAAATATGCCTATGAAAATGGTTGTGATTGGGACGAAGGCACAATGAGGGAAGCGGCTGCTAGTGGTTGCATTAGTTGTTTGAAATTTGCTCATGAAAATGGATGCAATTGGGATGAAGGTACAATAGTTACAGCTGCCATGCGTGGTAATTTAGATATCTTAATATATGCCCACGAAAATGGATGTAAATGGGATGAAGGTACTACAAGACTTGCTGCAGCAAATGGTCAGTTTCGTTGTTTAAAATACGCTCATGAACATAATTGTCCATGGAGTAAAAATACCATTTATGAAGCTACCAGAAGAGGTTTTTCATTTTTAACAAACTATGCTTATGAAAATGGTTGTCCTAATTAGTTTTTTGATAAAATATTTAAATTTTTTATTATCCTTCACTTTATATTTTAAATAAATCGTGTTAAGCCTAATCAATAATTTTATTGATAGAAATTGTGTCATTTTACTTGCTCATTAAATAATCTTTATGAAATAATAACCGAAATTCTTGAATAAAATATACAAATTTTTCAATCATGTATTTAAAGTTTATAACGCATTCAATTTTAATAAAAATAATTTATAATAATAATTTATGTAAAAATTATAGTAAATATGTATAAAATTTACATTCATATTAAAAATTTTTAATGATAAATGCAAAAGTAATTACAATTATTTTTTAATGTAATGGATCATAATAATGTATTGATTAAAATTAAAGATTTATTATTTAAATGAACATCAAATTACTTGAAAATACGGATTTCAAATTATAACATTTTATTTTGCTTACCCATTTCAAAAACCTAGTCATTTTTCAGTGGAACATTTTTTTTTTTTTTATTAATTCAATTAATCCTGCTGAATAAATATTTTTTTTTACATTCATTTATATTATATTTTATATAAATCGTCTTAAGCTAAAATGATAATAATTTTATTAATAGAATTAATATTATTTTACTTGCTCAATAAATACTCTTTTTGAAAGTATAACTAAAATTCTTAAAAAAAATTTTCCAATTTACAATTTTTATTACATCATTATTAGTAAATATATCTAACATTCAAAATTTGATTTTGTCTATAGTTAAATCTTAAATTCTTTTATTTTTCTTACGAATAACTTATTATACTGGAATGCGAGTCTTTAGCCAAATATTACTTATATCTGTACTTTTAATTTTGAATTTTCGTTAAGAGAACGTTATACAGCCAATTTTAGAGCATAAAAACATGTCTTTTTAAAATGCATTTAACACACTATATACTGCACTTAGTGCAATAACACCCATTGTAAAAACGAATGAGTACAATATTTTGGAGATGATTTCATATGAGTTTTTGGGTATATTGTATTAGTAAAGAGTTATAATTGATTGAAGTTTAATAAAAAAGTACATTTTCAAATTCAATTATCAAGCTTAATATTAGGTTGATCACAAAATGGCTATGAGATTGTCTTTGAAATATTGCCCTCGTTCAATTTTGTAATAAGTGTTAAAGCTCTAAATGTAATACAGAGTGAGTAAAATGCATTCTTTTAAGATATGTTTTAGACCGCTTTTATAGATTTTTTTGTCGACTAGTGCTGCTCATATCGGTTATATTTTAAAAATATTAACAGTTGACGGTGCGGCGTGCGGTGTGGCTCGATATTTCGTCGAAAACGTTATCAATATTTCTTTAAATAATTTCCCTAACACGTGCGGACCAATTTTATTATGCCGGTACTCAATGTTTGAACTGTTATTACTTTTTAGAATTTTTATTAAATATCGTTCCTGATGATAATATAATATCTTAATTTCTTCTATTACTAGGATATCATGCCAAGTCCTTTGATTTGATTAAAAAAATCATAAATGTATCCCCAACTATACTTTATGTGCTTATGTAAATAAACAAAACTAATTTTGTCGTATCTACTGCAGCACTACTTGTCGCGAGTTATTATCACGACATATCGCGAAATATTTTCGTGTATTTTGGCTAAAATTTTTTAAAGTGTAGTGTTGTACTTGGTTTTTTTAAATGGGTAGTAAAAATAATAAAAAAATATTTTCTAATAAAAAAAAAATTACCCGTCAATTAGTTCTAAAAAGACATAACAAAAATCAAAGTAAGAATATTATTTATTGATGTAATATCTATCGCTGTAATTCAATCAGATCCATAAAAGGGCAGATAGACGATTCTTCATTGATAGGGAAATATTATATAGTGTTCCAACTAAAAATTGTTTTCATTTCGCAATTCATCACTGTTCTTGTGCTCATTTTTAATATATTCAAGATTTTTTAACTTCGTTGCGAAATTGAAGAGAAATTAATTTTACTATGATATGTTTTTTTTATGTCAGTCGCCAACTTTTCTCAGCTTTTACTGGACCGATTTTAATGAACAATATTTCATAAGATTACAAATCGAGTTTTGTTTAAGACATTGCTCTCGAAAATTGAAAAAAATTACCCCGTTCCCCGTAAATTGAACAAATCTCAAAAGAATTATGTCTTTTGAAATCAACAAATTTCAATATTTTTCATAATTTTTTGATAAAAATAGCCATAATTTTTTGAAAAATAAATAGATCAACCAAATTTTTTATTATTGTTATCTTAGATAATTTCATTTGGTGTTTTTTTTTTTTTTTTTGAAAACATGAGAAGGATTTTAAAATGCGCCTAAAAAAAAAAATAATAACTTTTAAAATAACAGTTATTTTAATTATTTTTTTATAGTTGTAAATTACGAACGATGAGTTATTAAATATTGTGTTAATTTAAGTTCAAATGCGTTCAGTAAACACTGTACATTGAGTATGAAAATTAAAAATGGAGAGAAACATGTGGAATGGTAAGTATGCGTGAACTGATAGGCTAGACGAATAACTGAGAAAATCTCAGTGGGCCCCTCGTAAATATATGGGCCTACATTATATGATAGGTGTAGTAACTTCTAGATAGTTCTAATACTATGATAAAACAACTATAAACAATATATCAGCCACAAAACAATAAGTAAAATATTTACGCTAATACGACACTGAGTTTTTCTTGAAAAAAAAAAATTAAAGGTCCTGGAGAGCCTTGAGGTTAGGTGCAAGCGTGTTAACGAAGTAAAAATCTCGGTGGTTCCTTTTTTCTCAGATTGTTTAAGTACAAAATGTCCATGAGTATACAAGTGATTACTATGGTTCAGGTTCGGTAAACTAATGTGAGCATAGTTCATTCCTGTGACTTTTAAATTAGGAAAAAGTTACTAAAATGAAATTATTCCTTAAATGCACGAAGACAGTAAGTATAAGTATATTGTAGTTTTCGACTGTTAGCGTGCAAAAGCCTACTTATGAGAGACGTGGACACAACATCGTTCACAGATAGAATGTGGTGTTGTTTTGAAAATTATATTTATCATTGATAACATATCAGAATTATCAATTCGAAAAAAGCATGTTTTTAAAGTGCATTCGTCAGTAATCATGTTTTACAACATTGTATATACGCATATGCGTGTAATACGATAAAAACGCGGACTATGATAGTGTATACTCCAAATTCGTTTTACTATGGTTGCAACAACACTGAACCAGTTTACAACGATCCACAAGACATGGTTGTTAGAGTGTGATAGTAGCAGCTGACGGTATGACCTTACCGCCGATATGGAACACAATGCCATCTCTGGAGCGTTTTATGTAGAGATGGGAATTATGGTTCACCTAAGTGATCCGATTCATTCGAATCAGGTCAACTAGAAGATCCGGTTCAAAGACCCGTTCGCCATCTAAAAGATAGTTTGAGTCAATTGAATGGAACATTCAGTATAGTTTTGATTCTTTTGCGGTTCTCGATTCGCGAATCGCATGTATGATTCGCGATTCGGATTAGGGATGTGTCGTATAAACAAATGACATATGAATATGTTATCATTGATATTTGGTAAGCGATCAAATCGGTTCAGTGTGATTTATACGGGAAAAAATTAGTTTTTGGGGGATCCGGATCACTACGGTTCGGCGATCTGAATCATTTCGATCGCTATTTTGACCCGTTCAATGCGATCCGTTCGTTCGCGAACAACACATCTCTAGTTTTATGCGTATAGTTTTTACTGGAACGTCCGCTTAAGATCTAGTTTGATTTTACTTATGTTAAAAAGAAGCACTGATAATACATGTTGTATTAGTAATAGTTTACTATCATCAATCAGAATCCGTGTAGGTTGATATAAAACTAATTACAAAATTATACTTTAGCCCATGAGATTTTATAGATGATAATAATTATAAATGTTTTTAATTTAATGTATTAAATCCTAATTTTATAGTTAAATATTAGGTTTCTAAATTTTTTATAAGAATTACTTATTAACAAATAATTTTCTCATAAATTTGTTGACATAAGAATTTTTTTTTGAGAAAAATGAAGAAAATCAAAAAATTAACATTCAAGTAAAAACATCAGTCCTCTACGGCACTGGTTAATTTTAACATATAATAATATNACCCCCTATGGGCAGGTAAAGGATCAAATTTGAAAAAAATACCAAAAGATAAATACAGATATTATGCATCTATACAAAAAAAAAAATTATATTGATTTGGTTATTTTTAAAAAAGTTATGGTAGTTTTCATTAAAAAAACCTAGCACAGTGGAGTCGCTGTATAATGGGACGTAGCATAGTTGGTTCCAGTATAGATTTAATCTGACAGTGATTAAAATCAGTATCATAAGAAACGCTTCGATGTAAATCTGTAGATAGTGTTTAATTCTAAGAAATTAATAAATAATTACAAAAGCAACATCAACTTCTATTTCTTTAATTATCTCAGATTAGTAATTCTTTTAATTATGTACTATATAATTTTTAAAATTAATTGTTTTAAAATTATTATTGATTTTGATTTTTAATATGTTAAAAGTAATCATTTTGAACCT